AGAATCTGATCTTCCCCCAGTCTGTGCTCACTGAATCAAATTCAAATCAAGAGCTTAGGATGCAATTTTAAAATTCAAAGCAAGGACAAATGTCCCATACATGCTTCCTTTTGTGCTTTTCTGGCTGAGCTGTTGTTACCTGCAGTTACCTTCACAGAGATCATTTTTGCTCTTAACTATGAAAGGCAAGTTGCACAGATGCTTGATTCCGGCTTAGGTGGAAGCACAGGGGCTTCTAAGGAAAAGCAGAGTTCAAATACATTTGATCAATTTCAGGTTCAAACAGCAAAACATCCACGTAATACAGACATGGGTGGATTCCCCCACGCAGCTTGTTTTTACTCTTGGCCTCCTTGAAATAGGTCTCAGTTCCCAGCACAGATACGAATTCCCTAAAATAACCAATTCCAAACATAATGTTGAGAAATGGATGTTGTACTGAGTATTCAGTGGGGAGAGGAAGATTTGCATCCCACCCCGGACAAATTAAAAGACCCATCAACATGTGGGCTTCCCTGCTCTCCAAAGATGCTCTCCCCTACCATTACCCCATCACTCTTCTTTCTCTTCATCCACCTTCAGCTCTGCCCTCATTTATGATATAACCTCCATCAACACAAGGCTAGAAACCAGCCAGCCCACCACTGGGGCCACCTTGTTTCTCCTGCTTTCTCTAGGTGCCTCTTTCCTTCCATACTACCCTGCCCCCAACCTTGCCGCCTACCTCAACTTCCAAGTAGTTTGTCAAAGTACTTACCCAACAATTTAGACCCATTCTTAAGGGGGAATTCTGCTGCAAAATAAGCTTTATTTCCCACTCTGGTTTGCCAACGAACTAACCCTGAGAGGATGGTTACAATCTCCAGCATACTGAGAAGGTAACAGGGAGGGGCTCACAGAATCCAGACACTCACCCATGCTAAGACCCCATCTCAGTTCTGCTAGAGCCCCCATCAGTGCCCTCAACTGCCCTCCAGGGCTGCAGTGCAAGGCAGGTGGGCCTGGGAAATGTGTGCTGTGAGTTGAGGAGGGGGCATGTGTCTGGGGCTGCTTCTTTTACATTGCAGGCAGCACCTGTTCCCATTGTCCAAGCAGCTCCTGAAAAACCATCTACGAATCACCTTCGAGAAGACTCTGTCTTCTCGCAAGCCTCTGTATTCCCTGACAAAATTTAAGAGACTTCATTTTTTTCTTGCTTACAGACGTTAAGGACTTGTTAAGACCACGCATGCAGCTGTTAAGTGCTAATGACAGTGGGATTTAATAAAGGCCGGAGTCACTAACATCCAGGTGGTGCTAGGAAACACTGTGCCATCATGCTTCTCTAACGGAAGTCCAGTCTTGGATGATGTTTAGATGGAGAAAAGGAGCATTTCCTTTCTTTCCAAAATGACTGCAGGAAGCCAACACTAAGCAGGGATTAGTGACTCTTGTCCACTAGGTGGACATATGGAGGTGAAGTCTACTGCCATACCACCCTGAATGTGTCTGATCTCAGAAGCTAAGCAGGGTCGGGCCTGGTTAGTACTTGGATGGGAGACATGGAGGTGAAGTGTAGGCTACGGGAAGCCTTTCCTACAGCCCCTCCTAATATTCCCCACCTGCTACAAGAACTTACAAATATGACTGGTGATTGGGCTGGGTTAGGTTCTATGTGTGTCAAACACCATATGCATTTCCACCTTTTTTTTGGAACCAAGAATCAAACTCAGGACTTTGTACTTGCCCAACGGGTGCCGTGCCCCTGAGCTATACCCCCGGCCCATGCATTTCCACTTCTGCTCCATGCTTCTAGCCAGGCAAGAAGCCAGAGTCTACTCCTTCTGAGTAGGCTCGGTAAGAAGGCTTCGCTGTCTCAGGCTTGGCAGTCGGTTGTTGGTAAGGTCTGGATGTAAGAGGCAGACTCAAAATCTAAGCCATAAGCGACAATCTAGTTGCCCCGAAGATTTTTACAACAGGCTAATATGAGAGCAGTATGCTGATTTCTATTTTGCTGTTTGATCAGCATTTAGCCCTACAGAGCATTACCAAGAGAGGGGTATGGTAGTATATAGCCATTCCCTGGGTCCCAGCTGAGATGTTTACAATATACTCAAAACCTAGAGTGATCATATAATCTGTAAGCCACAGGAGGATATTTCTGAAAGTGAAAGAGCAATATTAATTTAATTATGCCAGGACAATTCCCTGGTAAGCAGGGCTGCATGGTCACCCTATCAGAACTACCAAAACCATCGCTGGGTCCTAACCCATTTCCTTTGATCATACAGAGACTTTAACTTTTTTCCTGTAATAACTAGATAAGAAAACCTAAATTCAATAGCAATAGGTAATTATGAAAACTGGCACTGGAAGACTCAAAGTTCTAAAAGGAAGAAGAGGGAAATAAAGATACTGTAGAAAGCAGACCTATTTAAAAAGTCTGTATGTCTTGCCTATGCTAGTTGTAGCATTCATAAAACCAGCTTATCGGTGGAAAGCATCTTAAGAGTTTACAGGGTACTTCAGGCAGTACTATGGCTTAATAAGCCTATGATGTTGATGGGTAGGTGCAGCATCCTCACAGAAGCCATGCAGCAACTCAAGCCTGGATTCCAGACTAGCCCAACATCCCCCACTCCCACCCCGCAACCCCTGCCCACAGTGAGCCCCACATGGCACGTACTCTGATGAGCCAGCATGTGCATTCTGAACCTAGAATACCTGGGGGACAGAAGTGGAAAAGAAAGGGGAAGGATGTGAAGCCACACCGAGTGTCTGCTACCTGAATCAAAGTGGGTTGCAAAGATCAATTAGCACTGCACATGTTCAAAATACAAGTACAGATTTGTGCCCATTTATTTCTAAAATGATCCTGGAATTGGGAAAAAAAAAAAAAAAAAGAAATAAAGAAAAAAGAAAAAAAAAAATTGCCTAACCCTAACATGGTTTTCTACATTTATTTTCTAAGATTACAAATTTTATTTGTAAATTAACTGGTAAAGAATTAAACTCCAATATTTAAAACAATGGTTCTTTTGTTGTTGTTGGCAGTCCTGGAGATTGAACCCAGGGCCCTACACATGCTAGGCAGGCACTTTACCACTGGGGTACATCCTTAGCCCTTTTAAAAATTATTTTGAGACAGGGTCTGGCTAAGTTCCCAGGCTGGCCTCAAACTTGCAATTCTCCTGCCACTGCTGAGAAGCTGAGATTGTAGGTGTGCATGAGACAGCCCCTACCCTCAAGGAGGAAATGCATTGAGTCCTTTGTCTTATGATTGGGAGGTAAGGCACCACCTTTCATCTACGTCTTCTAAGTCAATAAATTTCAGTAGGAGACCAAAGGGGACAGAGACTAGAGTCTGTCTACATACAAACTTATGTGCAAGCCTACTAGGTTACATTGTAGGAGTTACCTTGGAAATCCCTTGATGGATCAGGGATTGCTGCTCTCCAAGGCAAGATAACAGCAGAATATCTGGCACTTCTGTAGATCTGCAACTATCATTTCAGGGAAATGGGACCCTGATAGTCATTCAAAATATGGTATTCAAACATAAACATTATGCTATGACAAAGCCTACATAGCGCATATACTGGATCTACATGCAATGGCTTTGGAATTTACATGGCTAATTAGTACTTTCTCTTTCTCAATTCTTCGTGCTGCATACAACCTAAATCAGAAAGTATCAGAAGGACTAACTTGACTCTTTAAAAAGATTCATGCTTCCAGAGAGAATTCCATAATTGGTCAAAGACAGAAGGTGTTCATTGTGGCCATGCTTACTGAGTTGATACATACAGCCAGGAGGATCTAACAAGAATAAAGCACAACTTAGAGAATGAAGTTTTCACTCTGTGAGTCTCAGAATGTCTTAATTTGTTCAAGTCACAAATATCCCCTGGGCTTTAGATATCCAGCTGGACAGTGAGACATGGATGGCATCCTTTGTTGGGGTTGCTTTAACTGGATGCCTGTATATCAATTTAATTCACGAGTATAAAGCATTGAGGGGAAGATCTTAGCGGTCCAAAGTAAACTGCTCCTCTTCCTTCAGCAGAAATGATGCTCCCTCTTCGAGATCCATTCTCAATCACTGCAAGGAGGGCCTCTAATTCCTTGCACACATTGAAAGGTTTTTGTTTTTTTTTTTTTAAGACAGTCAACAGCAATTCACAGAGGAATGAATTATTTATGCCTTTGACATGACATTTGTAAGATGATGTCAAGTCTCTTTGTGGCTATTTATGGTGATGCTGAGAATATAGGTGACTGGGCATCAAGAAGTTTATGATACCTAGGAGTAAGAGCCTGGGGCAGGAATAAACACAGAATAAAAGAAAATAAGGGCTTTATCAATTCCTCATTTTGGAAAAACAAGCGTTATCAAGAGAGATATGAAATCTAACTTAGGTAGAGATGGGAAGACTGGAAGATTAAGGAAGAAACATTTAAAATTACCAAACTGTCTAAGGTCTGTATAAGAGAATAGTAGAATGATATAATCTTAATCACTATTAGTGAATTTCTGTTTTTAGTTTTTTCTCCAAGGTACACTAGTGTGGTAGAGGTTGGATCAAAAGAGGTCCTTTTCTTCATTAAAACATTATTACTACTTCCTACTTATGCTGGTAAACTGTTCCCCTGCCTATGCTGGTGAAGGAAAATCACCCATATACAGACAAAGGTAATGTGGTGATTAAGACACTTAACTAAAAAGAGAACTGGGTCAGCCCTACCCATGATTGTCCTAACTCAAGCTACCTGTTGGTAGGAAACTAACATTGCTGCTCTATCAGCATAAACTGGGATTATCACTGGAGGATCAGACAAAGTGCCACTGGGAAGGAGTAAGAAACTCTCCAGTGACCATGCCATGGCTCCAGATGATGCTAATCATTTTACAAGAGCTGCAATCCTTACCAATACAGCACATCAGGATGAAATCTATTTTCTAGAAATTTCAAAGCATGTGCATAATATATGAAGAAGAATAAGACCAGAAAGAAATAACATGCCAATCAGAAAATACCAACGACTTTATAAACTTGTACAGGGTCTAAACATATGTGCATTCATTCCACACAGATTCAGGGTGATTCACTTCCAAGTAACTTGCTGGGATGATCTCCAAAACTCTGGCTCCTGGGACAGCCTCCTCCAGGTTTTTCTATCGGAGCTCTCAGCACCAACGGAGTAGCAACTCTGATTTGCTACATATCCATGACCTACATCATGTCCAGCTGCAAACAAGAACAAGATATTTAGAAAGAAACCAGGGCACCTGCAGACTCCTGCTGCTCTGATGTGAGAATGCTCTGAACAGCAAGTATGTGTGAAGTTGCACACTACTCACGGCTAACTGCTGTAGGAGTTAAATATCAAGTATTTCCTCATTTCAGTACTAAGAACTTCTCCACAAAAAGGCTAAGAGCATAGCATGTAGTTTTGCTGACCAGGCTAAATGGGAAGAAGTTTCCAAACAGAAAGATAGATGCAAAAGCTAACATTTACACAGTTTCCAAGGCACTTACAATATGGTGTAACAAACCAGAAATCCTCAAATGCCTATCAGTCTAGTTTATTTATATTAATTGAGAACATTTAAGAAATTGGCTTTTTAAAAGCTGTTTTTATTTGCCAACCCACACAACTTACATGATGTATTTCTTATTTTTGGTTAAGAGCAGTTTCAGTAAATTATAACATTTTGGTACTAGCCTTCACAGCTTTTTTTAGCCCTTCAATGGTGAGAATTAATCTGAATGAACAATGTAGCTGAACTCACAGAACATAGGAATTTCCATTACAAAATTACCTGTCTGATTAAATTTATAATGGCAATAAATAATAGTGTAAGGAGCTTCTGGTGTGTTAGAAATTAAAACACAAATAAGAAACAAGTCTATCATAAGCACCATTTGTGGCTGCATGTGCAATCTTTAGACTACTTGATATAGATTAAAAGTACTTACTAAATCTTCCACATCACCTCCTTCTTCCAATACAGCTGCTGTATCTTTATCTGGTTTTTCACTGGGAGCCAGAAACTGTGAACAGAAAGTCAGTCAGGGTACTAAATGATGGCTGTGCCTTTTCTGGAGGAACAGTCTGCTAACACTGCCGAAGGCAGACCTAGGAGGGCCTGCCTAGCAAAGCCTCACTGCAAATGGCCCAAAGAAACATCATCTTGGCATATTCTCCTTCCCTGGGCTCTGGACAAAAGGATCAGTTCTAAAGTTCAACAGTCCAATCTAATTAGTCACCGGAGAAAGTTCTTCTGAAATGGGAAGAAATGACAGGGCCTGTCGAGATAGTAACTTTGAGAAGGGTCCCGCATCAGCACAGTGGACACCTGATACAGTATTTCATTTCTGATTCCATGGGGAATATAAACTGGTATATTAAGGTTAACAAAGTAACCAAGCACCCTGTCTTGGTTACTTTCCTCTCGTTGCTGGGACAAAATACCTGACACCCAAAATTAAGGAAGGAAAAGTTTATTTCACTTACAGTTTGTGGAGGTTTCAGTTTGTACTTGGCAAGTTACAAGGCAGAGTGGCACATGGCAGAGGGCTACAGCTCATGGCGGCAGAACACAGCAAAGCAACAACCACAAAAGGGAGGAATGGCGGAGGAATGGCCCCAAGCAGCCTGTTCGTCTCCCTTACATATGCAAACTATCCACCCCAGGGTGGGTGTACTTCTCACACCCATAATCAATCAAATTCTAAAAGCCTGCCCCATGACCGCATGAGGCTTGGGGGGGACACATAGACAATAACCATAACACACCCCAAGCTGGTATGTCTTAGATTCTTTCGAAAGGAGCATAAGAATGAAGATTATAATTATCTATTCCTGAACCTCACTGAGGACAAAAGAGGTAAAAGGAGGACTTCTTCTGAAAGATGTGAAACACAAAAAGAGTAAGCTTGGGCGGTTGTTTAATCCCTTTTATGGAAATCCTTCCATTTGTGTTAGAACTTGTTTGATGGCAACTTCACACAAAACTCACACAGGTAACATGATGGTGACAGAAAAGGCCACTCCTGTCTAAGTGGGCACTGCCTTCATCAACACCATAGACACGACCACGATGGTTTGCTGACTCAGCCTCTCCCCTGTACTTCCTCTCTCACTATTCACGGACCTTCGTTTTGACTGAATGATTAATGAATGTAGCCCTTTTTGACCCCAAATTGGACCGTGAACAGGGCTGGGAATCAGCACTATAAGAGAAAATCCTGACGACAGGGGCAGACAATCTGGCACAGAACTGTGATGAGCTTCTGTATCATTAATTCTATTGACTCCAAGTGATTATTAATAAAGACATCTGAGGGCCAATTACAGGTAAATGAGTAAGGAATACATACAGTTACACATGGTTTATGTCTAAAGTTAAATAAACTATTCTACCTTAGAGTCCCAAATTAATCTTTATGGTTCTCCTGATTATTATTACTACTAAAAATAATTATTACTCTGTACCTTGCTGCTCCTACTCATTATCATTAACCACTGCATGGCTTTCCCTGTATCAGGAACTTAATAGAGGATTTATTCAGTCAGGCTGAGGGCTGGAGATGTAACTCTTAACCTGCAAGAGGCCATGGTTCAATCCCCCTGGCCCCAACCCTACCCCCGCACCAGACCCAAAAAGACCCAGTTAGGTAAAAAGCATAACAGATATAACTGTATGCTGCCATAAACTTCTATGGGGCCACAATGACAAACACCATGGGCTCAGTGGTGCAGCAGTCACTACAGTGTTCACCTCAGTAGCCTGCAACATGGTCAGTACTTACTGATGAATCTAGAAAATCCTTAATATTTTGTGGCACTTGGCCTCTAAAAGCTCCAATTCTTATTCCCTACCCAACCTGCAAGCCCTTTCCACAGTACGATTAAAGGGAAAACTAGGATAGTACTGTGTCCATAGTATGACCTGGTGTATATAATTAAACATAGATGGCTCATCTCTAACGCAAGGCTGCCTTCCTAGGACGAGAGGAGCAGCAGAAGAAAAAGCCTTGCACTTCCATCAAGTGCTAAACATCTGCAGCTGATTTCCCTGACACATCTGCTTCACATTTCTGTGTAAGCAAATTATGGGTAAGAGCTGGGCTGCCATCCATTATCCTCCCTAAAGCTCCAGGCCAGGCTGATCTCTTATACATATCACTCTTCCTCATCAGAGTTTTTAACTGCTAGTAATTTTCAGGCTGTGCAGTGACAAGGAAGCTAGAGGCAGAAAATTCAAGGATTGGCCCGCTTTCTCAATAAAAGGAAAAGATTCCCTGAATGCAGCAGAAAGGGTCAGGAGTCAACTCTCATCTTTTCTCTGATTCTCTCCCTCTGCAATGTGCTGAAAACGTGGAGAATAAATAGAAAGGACACTTCTGTGACATACTTTTCCTTCCTCAAACCATCATTTACTTGAGGTTACCACAAAGAGCCTCCTTACATGGAGATCTTTATGAAATGAACAGACCACTACTTTTTAAGTACAATGAAATACAATCCCGCCACACGCAGAGAAGTAGAATCAATAAATTCTATGTAGGAACTGCCACTGTTATCCCACCAGAAGACTAAAAACTAACAATTGGCTTGTGCTCAGACCCTTATCAATGCCCAGATTAAAAACACACAGCTTCCATCAAGCTGGTTCCAACACTATCAGGTGATTCCAGATCTATAAAGCTTTAAGACAAACAAAAGTTTACATAAAATGGCACAAAGTGGGTTTCATTAATGTCATTTGTAGTTTATGGCAGAGAAATCCTGCAGACTAATGTGGAAAACAAAACCATAATCTTAGCTCTGCTAGCTTCTCAGGGACTCTGGACAACCCACCTGACCCTTTTACAACTAATCTTCCTCAAAAATAAAATGGAAACACTACTGTTTATCCTATCTATCTCACGGGGTTGTGGTGAGTTTCAGAGGAAATAAAGCACGCAAAAACACTTTCAAATAGTGTAAGTTTTACATATTAATTAGGAAGATACCCGATATATGTCCATCAAGTGATAGATACAAGAATATCTATCATATCTTTATTCATACTTGCCAAAGTCTGGAAACAAATGTCTATCATCACCATAATGGATGAGTAAGTATAATCATAAAAGGGATACTACATAGCTCTAACACATAATTTATAACACAGATGGATCACAAAAGGCATGGTTCCAATTATCCGAATGATCAATAACCAGCAACACTACTCTCCTAACTTTAACCCTAAACCTACCCTAATCCTAGGTCAGTAGACATTATGTAGGGGAACAGGAGGGTTCTGCCTAGGAAGATACCAGGTACTCTCTTGAGTATTAGGCACCCAAGAATATGAATGGGTAAAAGTCCAGCAAGTTGTGATTTACTGTATATTATCTATTTCTTCTATCTTAATTCAAACTTTAAAATTGTATCTTAAAATTATTAAGTTCTAGACAAATAGGTAACACTGGTATCTATTACTTGTGTTAGCACACAGAAAAACTACATTGATTTAAAGCAGAAAAAGAAAGCAGAAAATAGCAAAGGAAAATGTCACAAGGTGCAACAGGAGCCAGCAGCTAGTGAAATGACTACGTATTAAATTTTGTCTCAGAATTCCTCCCAAAGCCTTACACAATCACATACACAAAACCAGGTGTACTCTTGCAAGAGAGAACATGCCTATCTCCTCTCTAAGTACACTTGGTGGAGCCAGTGAGGTGGCGTGGCGGTGTGAGGGGAGGGTGGCTAGAGAAAAGTCCAGAGATCTAGGTTCCAGTCAATTCTGTTAGGCACTAGCTTGCTGGGAGATGCTGAGCTAGTCAACTTCTTCTCTCTAGAAATAACCAGATCACTAAGCTCTGAGCCTCTGTGATGCTAAAGCAGAAAATCAATAAATAACAACAAGAAAGACCAGATGAGGCAGTTAGAAGGAAACCAAATGCTAAAACTCTCCCCGAACCCTGCAAAGCTTGTATCCAGTGGTTATTTACATAGCTCAGCCTTTTGGACCCCATAAAAAACATTACTCCAATGCAGCGGGGATAAATCTTCCTTCTACTTGTGTTCTTAAAATGAAGTAGAAAGAATGAGAACTGGGTATCAGTCCTAGAACTGGATTCCTAGCCAGTGACTGACTGCCTGTGACATCCCAAACCCATCACAGTACCTCTTCTACCCACCAGAGGGTGGCAGTAATGGTGAAGGCACATGGCCACAGAATGACTCTAACCAACATTAAATGCTCAAGCATGTCTAACACAACCAACTAGAAACAAAAAAAGTCAGGTGAAAAATCCGACAGGTTATAATGACAATAAAAATGCATTATAAAAGAAGGGCAATATTTATGCCTGGGGTTTACTGAACTGAGAGGTACCAAGAAACTTAATAAAAGGGATTATCTAAAGTTATAGGAGAACTATCTGTCTGCTGTAGGGCCACCTTAACTGTTTCTAAAAGAATCTTAAAATCCACATCATTTTATATACATATAAACACACACACACATTAGGTGAACATTAGATAACGTAAATGCAACCTGTTACATAAACTTTTGGTATAAATATTAAATGGGGCTAAAGCACTGGTAAATGTGAAGGAAAAAAAAGATGGCATTTTCTCAGACATAAAAGAGAGTCTGCATAGCTGCACAGTTACTGCACAACAGACTTTTTCAGAGACTGTGAGATGCTTTATGTGAACTGCCTAGCATAAAGCTGGCCTTCTGTATACTTGAAGTGAATTTCCCATTTCTCGTTTCCCATGACAGGGAAGTGTTGCTGGTTTACTGGAAGCCTGCTTACTGTGCCCAGACTGAAAACACTGCCCCCAAAAGAAGAAGATGCCCATTACAGTAAGACAATCAGGAGCAGGAGAGAAGATTCGTCCCACTGATTTTTTACCATGTTCTTTCCATTCAAACATGGTGAAGTTCCCAGAGTTGTCTTAAACTACAACTGAAGTCTGTTCTGGTGATATTAGAAACAACTCAGGATACACCTCATACCTAGCAATTAACTGAAATTTCTCTCTCTAGCTTAATTATCAGACATTAAAATTCCTGATGCTTAGGCTCTGTGCCCTTAAATTCTAAAGAAAATATCACATTTGCAATATAGAACAAGCCTCACACAATTTGAAAGCACATTATCCTTTTTAGATTTCTTTTCTCTCCAATATTCTGCATTCACTGAGCTGTGACACTTTTGGTTAAGATGTACTGCTGGGGGGAAACATTAGCTTTTACAGATCAGTGCTCCCCACTTCCTCCAAAAACTGTAATATGTACCCAACTCGAACCTGGATGACAGATTCTGGTAGGTAATAATGACTAAAATTATATTATATGCCTTCATTTATTTTTCTTGTTTAAGAAAAATAATTGATAAGCCTTCACAATACGTGATGGTTAATATCATGTGTCAATCTGGTTAGTCTATGGAACCCAGCTGTTTATCATCAAGTACCCAGCACTTGGAAGGCTGAGGCAGGAAGCTGCAAGTTTGAGTCCTGCCTGGGCAACACTGTCTCAAAATAAAAAATAAAAAGTTGGGCATGCAGCTCTTTGTGAAGACCCTAGGTTCATTCCCCAATACCACCAAAAAAACAAAAACAAAACCCACTACTCTAGATGTTGCTGTAGAAGAGATTCACACACAATCAGCTGTCTTAAGACAGCTACCCTTGAAAATGTCAGCAGGCTTCACCTTATCAACTGAAGGCCATGATAGTAAAAAACCTGAGGTGTCCTGAAGAAGGAATTATGCATCAAGACTGTAACACAGAAATTCTGTCAGCCTGCCCTATAAATTTCAGACCTGCCAGCCCCCACAATAACATGAGTCAACTCCTTAAAGTTGGTCAAATGAGCTGTGTGTGTGTGTGTGCTCACGTGCTTCTATGTCTCTGGAAAACCCTGACTGATACATTTATAACACTGTATGGAGTGACAAACAGCAATAAAACGAAACAGTTAAGTGCCACACTGAAGCCCATGGTATTCAGTACTGCCAGAAGAGAATACAGACACTATGGAACTCCCAGAGAGAACAGTCAGCATCTTCAAGTATGCTCCTAAAATTCCAGAATCGTACTCTCTAAAGTAGGGACCATATCTTTTCTTTAACAATTGTTAGGCCTTGGGGGCTGGGGATTTATCTCAGCGGCAAAAGCGCCTGCCTGGCAAGTGCAAGGTCGTGAGTTCGGTTCCCGGTACCAGAGAAAAAATAAAAAAACAAACAAACAAACGAACAAACAATTGTTAGGCCTTGACCTGACAATTGTATCAATCAAAAGCTCACATGGTCTTTACTGAAAACACCTGAGTGACCCTTATGCTAGACTATGAGTGTTTTGGCCACTTGGTACTTGCTGCACATTACAATGCCTGAGGAGCTGAGCAGCTTTAAAAACTCAAACAGATTATGTCCAGGACCAATCTCAGACCCACAGAATAGACTCTCCAGGATGATTCTGATTTGCGGGGGCAGATACTGGGGACTATAACACTGAGTTATGTCCCCAGCTCTCTGACTTTTTTATTTTGAGGCATGGTCTTGTTAAATCAATAAATTGTCTCAGTTGGACTTCAACTTTTTTTGATCCTCCTTCCTCAGCTTCCCAGAGTGCTGGGATTACAGGCATGTACCACATCCAGCTGGTTCTGATTTTTAATGAGGGTAGCGGGGAGAAAGAGATAATGAAAGCACAGAGAAAGCAACCTTCTCAGGTGACTAATGCGTGGCTAAGATGGGAATCATTGGGCTGGAAGGATTTCATAGCCTTTACCGGGGTGTAGGCTAAGCTCAATATGCACTGTGGAGTTTAGCAGCACCAGTAAACTGGGATTACATGTTGAGTTCTAAAAATATAACGTTGGTCTATAGGAAACTGAGTAGATCGCCTATGAGGAAGATACAGTTGCAGCTTGTTGGCTGAATAAAGAAAGGGTGCACACTTGAGTTACTCTTAAAATTTACTTTCTGTGAGGTCATCAAGAAAATAATATCCACTGCATTAATTCATCTAAAGTCAGGGGGTCATCTCAGTACCTTTTTGGCTTCCTCAGGTGTGACAGAGCTTCCAGAGGCTTCATCTTTGGTGATCAGAGTAATTCCATCTAAAAAAGAATTCACAGAACAAAATCCAACACAGAGAGACAGTTTCAGCCCTTCCCTTTCCACACCTCCACCAATCCTTGCTCTGGAGACCAGTACAACTATAAAGGTGCTCCGCTCTAGAAATAACACAAAGCTGTAATAGCAATTAATGTACATTTTTGGTTTCATCTTATGTTGTTATTCTTTCTTCCACTTTTGCTAGTACAATAAGAAATAATGGCATTTCCAGCTCTAACCACTGCCTGATGTTTGCCTTGGTCCACTCCAGAAAGAAAATCTCCCTCTCTTCTTTTAGAACTGTCAGATCACTTTGTCTCTCCCTTTCAAATAACTCTTATCACAACTTATATAACTGCCTGTATCTGTCATATGCCCTCATGGACTATATTTTCCTCAAGGGAAAAGACTGTCTTATTCATCTTCATATTCCCCTCCATGCAGTACACATGAGCAGCTCAATAAATAAATGCCTGAATGACTGTATACTTCTGTCCAAACCCATCAGCACACAATGCTGGACTCTACATGCATTTTGACTTATAGTAGTATTACCAACCATAAAAATAAAATGGCCAGTGGACAGTTCAGGGGGAAACATGCTTTTACAATTGGCATGTTTATTATTCAACAAAGCACATCACTTTTATCTCAGTGAGGGCAAATCAAGGATAGATCTACCCTTTAGTTCGTTTTCTTTGTAAGATTTTTTTTCCTATCTCAAATGGCTAGGTGCATGATATACTTTCAGAAAAGCACATGTATTTAACATACATTTGTACCTAGAAATAGCATAGGTTGTATGCATCTCTCAATAGCACAGAAACTCAGAAAATATGTTTATTTTACTGTTTATGTCCTTTAAGATTTTTTTTCAGCAAATAGTATGTTATAGCCATTCAATAAATATCCAAATCAACTTCTTACTAAGTCAGTAGGAGAGACACAAAAGTGATTAAATAAGCCCTATTTACCAGGTATCCTAATTGCTTTTGCTCCTCAGTGTAAAGGTTAAGGGCTGAAAAAATAGCTGTCAGGGAAATAGTTGCCTCTGTGGTAAAACACTGTTAGAGGGTATGCAACTCCTTTTATACAAAATTTACATAAAAGATGAATTGAAACTAATTTTGACTCCTATTATAACTGGAAAAGCTTCATACCATCTCTTAAATATATTTTGATAATATGCATTTTTAATAAATTATATCTCACACTTGATTTCTGAAAAAAAATTGGGTTCTGTTTTAACAACTAGGAAAAGGGCATGAAGGAAATCAAACATCAAGCCTGACAATACTGAAAGAATATGTGTTCCCTTCTGTTATGGTTTGTGTCTAGATGTCCTCCCAAAGCCTCATGCAGTCATGGGGCGGGCTTTCAGAGTTTATGAACGATCCACGATCCAACGCTGGGATTATGGGTGTGAGTGCTATACCTGCCCTGGGGTGGATAGTTTGCATATGTAAGGGAGAGAAAGAGCTGCTTGCCGCCACTCCTCCCACTCCTTCTTTTCACTTTGGCTGCTTTTGCTATGTTCCCCCCACCATGAACGGTTGCTCTCTGCCATGTGCCACTCTGCCTTGGAGCCAACCAAGTATGGACTGAAACCTCCACAAACTGTGAGCTAAATAAACCTTTCCTTCTTTAATTTTGGGCATGAGGTATTTTGTCTCAGCAACGACAGAAAAATAACCAAGACACCTTCCCTCTGGGTTTCAAGCTCATGGGTTACTATGAGTAAATGAGAAGCTGAGTGGTTCTGGCACATGACAGTGCTGGGCTGCTGATATGGACAGCCCAAGAGCATGGTCATGGCAGATAACAGGGAGCAAATGTGAGGGAGTCAGTCCAAATCCAGCAGACCCAGTAAAACTGAAATGGCCTAGGAATCCAAGGAAGGGTCAATGTTTGCTCACATGGTGGCTTTAAACAACAAACTGATGTATAGTCTCAGAAACAGGTTATGCTGTGTAAATTGTAAGATAGGATGTCTATGTTTATTTGTTATTTATCACTCTGTATTTATGCTAATTAAGCGAGATTTTAAGTGCAACAAGTCCCAGGCATTTCCCAAGGCCAAATGGAAAGTCATCAGGTCCCACAAAAGACATCACACGATCTACTTAACATTTAGAGGCTATATGTATATTTTTAAAAATAGCATAAACACTTAGAAGAAAAATGACCCTTTACCTTGAACAACAATTTCCCAGAAATGATTTAACTGTTTAATTTCCACTTTCTCTCGAAGGGCTTTCAGGAAACTGTTAAAGCGCTGTTCTTCTGAAAACTGGGGGCCAAGAGGGGAAGAGGAAGTGGCATTCACAGCAAATACAAAGCTGAATTCTTCCCTAGACCAAAGTATTACATATTTTGATCTGCCATATTTATAAAGAAAAAAACTGTCCTTCTTTGGTAAATTGCAGCTAGCAATTCAAGTTGAGCTTGGTTTGTTCAGAACCAGAACCAGAACCAGAACCAGAAGGCACAGCACTTCCCATAACCACACACCATTTTTAGTAGCCTGGAATGTTACTTTTAACTTCTGATACAGACAATTTCACACAAAAACAGAATCAGTTAGTGAGTGCTCATACACTGGTCACTCAGCTTCAGTAATCATCAATGCAATCAGTCTTGTTTCCTCTATATCCTTACCTTCTCCCAGAACTCTTGGTTGTTTTAAAGCAAATTTCAGTTAATGTTATTTCATTTACAAATATTTCATTATTCAATATCTAAAATACATATTCTTTATATGTATATTTACATATTTATATATGAGGGTGAGAAAACATATGCAAATGTCATTACATATAACATAAAAATGACTCGTTCCTTAGCAGGAGCAAATAATCAGTTAATATTCATATTTTCTTAATTATTCTATACAAGTTTCTGTCTTTTAGAAAAAATTTTAGTTAAAAAATGATCTACAGTTTTTAAAATGATCCACATGGGCCAGGAATATAGCTCAGCAGCACAGCACCTGCCTGGCAAGTGCAAGGTTCTGAGTTCAATTCCTGGTACCAAAAAGTAAAAAAATAAAAAAAGAAAAGAAAATGATGATCTACACTAAGATTGACTAATATGTCTCTAAAATCTGTTTAATTCCTCCCCCATCTCTCTGTTTGTTTGTTTGTTTATTTATTTAATGGTGCTGGGGACTGAACCCAAGATCTTTACACATGCAAGCCAAGTGTTCTCACACTGACCTATAGCTATAGCCCCAGCTCCTTCTCTTTTTATAAGAACCCACTCACCTGGTACTTCTAAGCACATTCAGCAGCTGTGGTGTACAGTGTTATCAAATACCCTACACAGCTAGGGAAGTGTGTTTTGTCTTGCTTTTTGAAAAGCAACATGTTGTATGACCTTTTCCCCTCTAAGCACATCATTCTCTACTCAACTGAATCACCCACAGTCTTGATTCTACATTTCCAAAATTTTGTATTTTATCTATAGGGTATTTGGGGCGTCTTGTTCTGAACCTTTTATTCTAATTTTAACAGTTTTCTCATTTTCTTGTCATTCTTTATAAGTACTTAAATTATTCAAGCATTGGTTTGTTCATTTATTCAGCAAGTATTTAATAAGCACCTACACAAACATGTACAACTGTGCCTACTTTAAAAATACATTTTCTAAATTGAAATTTGTTCACCTCTTGCCTAGCAGTTTAAAGGCCTACAGATAATATTTGGTAGTTTTTAGAAGTGTTCTCTAAAAACTCCTAATAAAACAAACAAAAAGCACAATAAATGTTAAGGGGAAGCTGAGTAACTATCAAAGAACAATGGAACAGTGTGCTTTTTTCCCTGGCACTTATATCTCTACTCCTGTCTTTATAAAATCCTCAGCAATTACACCAATATATATTTTCCATCAATTTCCCTAATATAGCCCAACACAGGAGTTCCAATACAATAGTTAGCTTTTACAGTGACAATAGGGCTGCCAGAGGTTACAAGAGAAATTTCCTTAGTTCCCTAAGCAGGAACAGAAAGCCAGGGCTTTGGTGTCATAAAAAACTAGAGAGATAAGACATCCCTCCTACCCACCCACCTGAATTGTTCCTCAGAAACAACAATAACATGAGTTTCATCACTGCCACTTCTCTTGGCATACGTTGTTATTCACTAGGAAAATAATGATCTCCAAAGCCCAGGCTTACTTGTGGAAAGCTGTGTGTCTCTCCCTTGTAATGGCTGCCAGCTGTTTGGAAAGAAAAGACAGGTAAGGCCTGAGTTACCTTAATGGCTTCTTCCCGGAAGGCTTTGATGCAGTCCAAGCTCTTCATAAAATAGGGTGTTTCATTCGTATCCAAAAACTGTTCAATGTGGCTGCTTAGCTGGTGACTTGCTAGAACATAAAAGAATAAATTTATTTTCCTACTTGCAAGTGATGCTTGTTAGATGCGGAGTATGCTTCCTGGTATGTGCGTATAGAATGAAGTATGGTGGAAGAGCCTCAGGATCAGTACACACAATAGTAAGACGTCTTTTAGGAGGATGAGATACAAAATTCTGATTTCAAAAGTCTGTATTTGAGAAATGGGTTATAGTGCTATTTGTTGAGAAATAAAATTTCTGTATGCTTAGGGCTAAGGTTTCCTTTGGGGATGTTCAACACTAAATTGTGGGAGTTGTTTTTTAAAATCTTACTGTTGTCTCCTCCCCCGCAACTGAGGCACCATTTGAACAATTCAAAATTCCCTTTTCCAAGACAGTCATAGGAAACAGATTTTCCAGTCCCTCCTCAACTCCTCTCGGGATAACTGTCAAAGAGTACAAGGCATTGAAAAGTAATGAAGGAGGGATACTCCATCTTTTACCAACCCCAGGTGATATTAAAAAGAAACAGCCCCAGTCTAACATAACATCCTATGAGATAAGAAATCATTACTATGTGTCTCATGCTCTTAGCTGGACCTAAATATTCCTTATGTTGCTCAGTACTCCCCAAGCTATGAATATTTAATAAACACAGTCAACAAGAAATGTCATAAATGTTACAGAACGAAGAAGTACATTAATAATATTATCATTTCCAAAGTAGGTTGCAACTTGAGGCTGTCTCACAAAGCAACAGAATTCTTCAGTATGAAAAACAGGAAAGAAAAATAGAAATGTGAAAGTCAAGGGAACTTAATCTGCTGAGCAGATCAGAAATGACCCTTTAGATCTATGGTGAAGAACAAATCAAGGAGATGAGAACATTCATGGCCTAAAGGCTCACTCTGCTTTGTCCTCTGAAACCCCTCATTAGCAGACTATTTGACAATTCATGCTGAATGGTCAAGATATTCTAAAAGTGCCATGATTCTCAAATTCATGACCTCATTTGAACATTCTACTAGTCAAAAATCTGTAGGACCATAATACTAAGCCAACCACCTTCACTATTCACCTATAAAGGCTCAAGGCCACTAACTCTTACTGTTCAGGGTCTTACGAAAGACATGAAATTGGTGTCATCTACTTATTTGCTAAGGACCTTACAGCATGTGGAAAGGATTAAAAAAAAAAAAAAAAAAAAAAAAAAAACACTAAACGAAGAATTTTCTAATATAGCAATTTTGCGGGATGGGAAAAATATCCCCAGTAACTTTCTCTTCTACCAACTAGGAGATTATCATCTCCATTATAATAAAGCATTTAACAGACTTGAAGGATTAAAGAAACACTTCTCTGCAATTTAAGAAATCTTTACCAATATATCCTCTAGCACTGAATTAATATCCAATACAATTCAAAGGAGAGAATGTTCAGATGGTCTTTTTCAACAAGGCAAATAATACTACCCTGATTAGTAGGCAGAGCAGAAAACCATCAACAAGAAGCTCAAAGCAAATAGAAGCTATCTTGCATTGTTCAGTTTAGAAAGGCAAAGTAACACAAATGTTTGATATTTCTCATACCCCTGAGAGAGCAGCATACTTTCTCAGACAGTTTGATATAAAGTTCACTCAGCATTATATATGTGGTCCCAAACAAAAACTTTTACAGGCCAAGGTCAATAAAACCAGAGACTCCATGGCCCCCACTACTTTTAAAATGTGAATGAAGAAACTTTGGAAGCTATAATGGAAATGTTTCTTTTTGCTTGACTTAGTGTTTTCATTAATTTATCCTAGTGAGTATTCATTATGTAATTACTATATGTAAGATACTACACTATATTCTATGGTAGATACAATTAAACTGAAGCTAAGACCCTTGCCTTTGAGGAATTTATTGTCTACTGGGGTATATGATATATATATATATATATAACAAGAACAGGAGGTAAATGTAAAGAGAGTTCTGTGTGATATGAAAACATTAACTGTCTGATTTTTTTTAATGTACTGGTCTGAATTTTTTAAAACTTTTGATGGTTAGAGAAAGCTTCAACGACTAACATGGCTTTTTAGCTGGACCATGACAAACCAACTTTAGCCACCATCCAGCAGGAACAGGATAAGCAACAGACTGAAGAACAAAGTATGTTTAGGGAAAAAAAGCAGATGGCCCAGTATTTGGATAAGAGTAGGGGAAGAAAAAGGAATGAGACTTAGACAGAAAACGGTTGGAGAGAAGATACTCCAACAAGAGAGGGTCTAGGTTGGCTCCTTAGATAGTACAGGAGAAAAAAAGGAGATTCAGGACCAATTCTTTTAAGAGCTACAACCTTTAAAGGTTGGATACCCAGTCGGATGTGGCGGCGCACATCTGTAATCACAGCACTAGGGAGGCTGAGGCAGAAGGATCATCACAAGTTCGAGACCAGCTTGGGTTACAAAGTGAGCTCAAGACCAGGCTGAACTGCACAGCAAGACCCTTTCTCAAAAAGACAATCAATCAATCAGTCAATCAATCAATCAATCAAATAATCAATGTTGAATAGAGGAACAGGAGCTGAAGAAGGAGCTTAACAAAAAATGTCAAGGAGATAGAAAAGCAGGTACGAAGAGACTGTTTAAAGAAAACAATAGTCTGGCATGTTCAAACTTTTAAAAAAGACTACAAGAGAAAAAGTACAAAGAGCACAAGGGATTGAGGACTGAAGCTTAGGCCCAGGAGCAAACTAGAAAGTGCTAAACTGCTTTTTCCAAAAACCATACCTGCTGGTGTGGTGGCTCACGTCTGTAATCCCAGCACTCGGGAGGCTGAGGCAGCAGAATCACCACAAGTTCGAGGCCAGCCTGGGCTACATAAGTGAGTTCAAAGCCAGCCTGCACTACATAGCAAGATCCTGTCTGAACCCCCAGCCCCTAAAATCAGTTGACCAAAAAAACCATACCTTTCTGATCCATTTTCTCTAAAATATGTCAGAGCACACACACACATAAAGTTACCATCTTACAAAGAAAAGTATTCAAGAGAAACTAAAATAAGCAAATGCCAAAAGCCCTCATAATGAAGCCCTCATACATCTGTAGATCTATCTAGATTTATTTTTTCTTATTTACATATCTGTAGATCTATCTAGATTTATTTTTTCCTATTTACATATCTGACTGTTCTATCCTTTCCTACAGGGTTCAAAAACACAGGCAGATAAACACAGCCAAATACCCATAAACTCGATGAATACAAAAAGCCAGGTTTTGTCCTGGCAATAGCAAATTCCATGGTCAGTCCCATGATTCTGTTCTTTTTTTTTTCTTTTTATTGCGGCCCACATTTCTGAATTCTATACCTCTCCCCAGACTATTCTGTGGTTCACCGACTACAGTGACCATTTCATACCAACTAACATGTATAATGGATGATGCTTTATATACTGTACTAAATATCAGAATGAGATGTACAGAAGATTTCCATTCCAAAGTCTGGTGGAACTTCCCATTATTACCCTGCCATATTTAATATAAGTAAAATGCAGAAATGGCTGACAAAAATAATATTCTACTTTGGCTGAATTATACTTTTGACTCCCCTGCAAAAAGGAAATGCTGATCATTAGGGTCCTTTTCTCTGCTTCGATAGCAATTACAGGCTAAGGAATGGCCTGTCAGTCTTCACACTCAGTATATCACAGCCCCAATTATAATTCACCAAAATGTTCTTCAGAATTAGTCAGTGACTAAGTAACACTCATTAGTAGACAACATAAAAAATGGCCATGGGAAGGGCCATCCATCTTAGGATACTAAGTGAGGTAAAAGGCTGTCATTTATCTCAAAGAGTTCTTCAAAAATGTCTGTTCTGGAGTTTGAAGTTTTATATATGGACATTATTTTGCCCCAGATTTTAAATGAGTGCAGATGTTGATACACAAAATTAGTCACACAGTTAAAATCTTAGTATCATATTGAGAAAGTTACACAGATTCACAAGTGTTATGTAAGAGGAAAGCAGCAGAATTTCCTTGCTTAATCTTAAATACACATTCCTGTTTTCTTACAGAAAATATTCAAAGCCCCGCACAATGGACCACCTCCCTTTATAGTACATGGTTAACAGGGGCCAAAACATGCAGAGTTGTGGGCTTGACTGTCTCTGACTTTACATTGCTCATTTCCACTGTGCTTTGCAAAAATGTTTCCAATACAGTGAAAGGAAGTCATTTATTGTGAGATTTTCCCCCTTATGAGACAGAGACAAAAAAGCAGCAGGTTCATTTACCTGTCACACATTATATTCAAAGGACTGTTAAAGGACTGTTGAAGGCATCTCAAAGGATCTTGCTGAACTCAGGCATCATTCAGGATGTTTCCCAATTTAATCCTCACTATCTCAGTGCCTCATGTGAATTTTACTTATTGAAAAGCTGTGCATTTTGCAGATGTCTGCAGTTAAATAACTTTTAAATGTTAACAAATTTATATATGCAATGATGTTATCTTTAATAAATCAAAAGTAAAAGGCAATAACAAAAATCAAGTGTTTAACTCAAACAAATATAAGGTCAGGACACTCATTAAAAGAATAAAAAGGAATAAATATTCATTAGCAAAAGCTCTAGGCAAGTAGGCCAGTTTATGAACCAAATCCACATATAAGTTACAATCAATGTTTTAAGACAGAAACTTAAAAGGGACATTTATCTGGTAAGAGAAGGAGTCTGTGGCTTCAGTAGAGGCAACTAAAGCCGAAGCAGGTCAGAAAAGGCTTCCTCTACATCCCCTTTAGGATATGCACTGGCCACTGTGGACAAAAACTACATGTTTACCAGTGAGGGTCCAACCAGAACAGAAAGCACTCTGAATACTTAACACAGGGGACAATGCAGGCAGTTGTTTCCCAGTAAGGAAGAGCTGTAAAGCCAACTGAGAATGAAGTTGTAAGCCAGAGACAGCAACAGTAAGAGTCTACCCCCAAGCCCAACACTGGGGCATGTGGGAAAAGAGGGGTTAGAACTAGAGCCCACAGACC